TAAATACTGATTTGAGGAAGAATCATATTTATTCCCTTTATAGGTTGAACTTGTGACAAAGAATGTCAGAAACTCTGATGAGACTATGTGAACAAGGACAGCATTTTAACCCTTCTTAAGGGTTCATTTCCTCATTTTAAGACTAACTGAGAATCAGAGATGATCTGGTAACTCACTGGATAACACTGAGAAAACTAGTAACAAAAAGCTCTTTATTCACAGTGGTTTTTTGTTTTTTTTTTTAATCAGTGGACAGTATTCTCACTTTTATTCAGCAGAAAGCCTGGTACACCTGCCTCTGACACTTGTTAATTCAATTAATTCATTTTGGAAATGGCATTCCGATGTTTTACCTAGTTGTTTACCTAGTTTTCATTTGTTATTTTGTAAAAAAACTGTATGTCCTGTCCTAAAGCTGTAACTTTCAGTCTCCAGAAACAAAAAAAATAACAATCCGGAAATAAAAGAAACAACACATGCATGTTTCTGTGACATGTATACTTCAATGATAAAAAGCTAGCTGTTTCATAGCTTCTGTAAGAGTATGATGAGACTAAGCCTTTTTTCTTAGCAAGGTCTAACTTCTGGAAGTCACAACAGTAGACAACAGTGCAACCTCCCCTCATTATTAATTATAAATATTAATTTAGTATACAAATTCCATCTTGAATAGCAAACATAAGAAATTCAACATAAATAATTTTGTCTTAACCAAATTCTGATAATATTTATAGTACTTCATTGGGCTTTTTGTTGTTGTTGGTGTTTTTTTTTGTTTGTTTGTTGTCTTTTTTTTTTTTTTTAATCAGATAATCTGCTGATTGATTTTCATGTTGAGGGGATGGTGGAAAAGCCCTTGTCCAGTTTCTGTTATGGCTTATGGAATATAATAGCAACTACAATTAGAATCATAGAATACCCTCAGTTAGAAGAGACCCACAAAGATCATTGAGTCCAACTCCTGGCTCCACACAGGATCACCCAAAAAACAGGCCATGTGTCTGAGAGTGTTGTCCAAACGCTCCTTAAACTCCAACAGGCTCGGTGCTCTGACCACTGCCCTGGGGAGCCTGTCCCAGTGCCCGACCATCCTCTGGGTGCAGCACCTTTCCCTAACCCCCAGCCTGACCCTCCCCTGTCCCAGCTCCATGCCGTTCCCTCGGGTCCTGTCGCTGTCCCCAGAGAGCAGAGCTCAGCGCCTGCCCCTCGTGAGGGAGCTGCAGGCCGCCATGAGGCCTCCCCTCAGCCTGCTCTGCTCGGGGCTGAGCAAACCAAGTGACCTCAGCTGCTCCTCATACACCTGGTCTTTCTCTGTCTTTGTAGATCTCCAAGCAACTCCAAGCAAACTTAACGCTAAAACAGCTTTTACAGGTGCTTCCACCGGTATCTCCTTCAAAACTTATCTCCCCAATGTGTGATCTGCAGAACACTGTACTTCTGCCCCTTCTAAAATTCTCAACAGAATCTAAATTATGTCTGCATAACTCCCAGATTCTTCATTTATAGTATTGGATGACTAAGTGAACAGAATTAAAGAACTATAATGACTTAATCAATAACTCCAGGGAATACATACTCCTGGTCTGACTTTATACTGATGTTTAATATCAAGAGGAACCCAGCAGTAAATCTTGTTCAAAAGCACCAGTCATTTTCACCTCTCATAATTTCTGTGATCATTTGATTCAGAGACCCAATAAGCTTGATATACTTACATAGCTTAGTGATATTATTGCCCTAGTAGTTTCAAGAAATACCTACTATTACAGGAAGTTAATCTTAGCTTAAATTGAGGACTAAATCTATATGTCTCTCTTGAAAGGATTTTCTTTTTTTTTTTTTTTTTTTTTTTTTCCAAAATAAACTCTGAATTAGGAAACTTCGAACTACAAAGCACATGCCTACTGGAATAAATATGTATTTGAAAATATAAACTTGTGAGTGAAAGTAATTGTATTGAAGATATAGATGAAAAAAGTCAAAAGGTATATGATTCTAATATACCTTGATATTGAGAATTTCTGATCTGCACTACCTAAAACAAACACATCATGCAACTCCAAATGGACTCCTCTTTTTCTTCTTTCTTGGCTGGTAGTTTTCTAGGATTTAAAGATGGACCCCAAGTCAGGCGTATCCTAAAGGAGCAGACTATAGATAGGGAAGGGTTTTCTGGACACTTCTGATGCATCTATTAAGATAAACTCAAGATCCTGATTTTGATCTTTAAAAACCATTACAGTCTTCGGGTCACACAAAAAAAAAGTCTGACGTAAATGATTTCTTTAAGCCATTTGACAAATAAAGCACTACTTCAGCTCTCAACATTCTTGGCTTTTAGACTGTAATCCCTGAATTCAAAGAATTATTCACCACCAGCAACAGCAGAAAAGCCATTTCAAATAGTTTTGACCCTGATGTTTTGGAGAAGCCAATATTATCTTTTTTTTTTTTTTTTAAACGTTACAGAAACATATCCTTTTATCAACATTATTAAAGAAAAAACATCACATCTCACATCCTCTCCAGAACATACAATGAATAGATTTTAAAGACAAGAAAAGGTCATTGTACTCTTCTAGTATAACTCCATACAAAGAAAACATCATCCAATGTTTTCTGCATCAGTGCCCTAAATTTTGCCTGAATATAAGATGGCTTAAAATACCCAGTTTCATCTGAAGAGTTCAAGCAAAGAATTCCTCTCAACCCTACATTAAGCTACATCAATGGCTAATTACCTTCATAAGTACCCTATTTCTAATCCAATATGGAACATATTGAAGTATATCTGAATTTCTCACTCTATGATCCTATTAGGGACCCACGTTTCCACGAGTAGAAGGTTATTCAGGAAACAAGACAAAGGATCTCATTTTACTCATAGACATTGCTAGATTCTGCCCCACTGTTTCTCTTTTGCTTGACAATATTAACAAAATTACATATAATATTATATAATAATACTAAACATTTATATACAATTATATAAAATATGTACCAAAATATTTACAAATTATAAATATTTACTAAAATATTTAACCAAGTTTGTTCTTAACATTCAAATACACATGTAGAGCTTCTTAGAGCTGCCCTGCTGCATGTCTGGTTCAGAGATGAATTATATAGTAGCAACTGGATTTCCATGCGTCAGTGAAGTTCATCACATGTATGTTTTATATTTAGGAAACACTACATCATAATACTACATCATGATACACAATCATTTCAGCTTCACTGCTACTCTTATACTTCATGCGTTTCACAGAAAGAAACTGGATTTGTAGCATAAGTAATATCCTTAACCACTGCAGGCACCCCACCTCATGTCGCAGAGTAAGATACACTGCAATACTAAACCAAATACCAGATAGCCAGTATTCCTATGATAGGATCATCTTTTCTCTTATAGAGCCCACTGCTCACTGCTTTGACCTAAAGCTCTTAAAGTTGCAAAACCTGAGTACACAACAGATTTGACATCTCTCTGGAAAACAGCATCTGAGACACAAGTACTAATGATCGTTTTTACAGGTGCCAATGTGATGATAGTTTTCGATGCATCTTCACCTTCATATACCCCAAAGCTAGTGACACAGAGGTTAATCGACGCCTTAAGATTTAATCAGAAAGTGTTGAGAAAGAAGTTGCTGTAGTGTGATACAGATAAGCAGGGACCTAACTCTGAAGTGGATAACAGTGCTTCATAGGGATTCAAAGAAATACACAACAGGGCAGGAAAGGCAGACAGAATAAGGCAGAGCAAAAAAAATCAGTGTAAAAGATCAGTAACTCACCTTTAACTCTGATTAGCTGAAAATGTTTAGCAATCAAGAACAGTTTAGCAGTAATCCTTATTACTAAGTGGGAACAGATGTTAACAAAGAAAAAACAGTAGTCTAAGGAAAATAAACTCTCACGGTTAGAAAGGCTATTAGGTAGAAAGAGAGAAAATAATAATAATAATAATAATAATAAAGCAACAGAGCACGGGAGTCAGTCTCTTCTCTTCTGCCATTCCTCTGTCCCTGACACAGATAGTGCCCATGGATAGGTATATCTAAGGAAAAGGTTCCTGCCCTTTTGGTTACTCTTCCTGCCTCTCCTGCTCTAGAAGGTAATTTGTTTTTTTAACACACCACTGAGAAAAAACAGCATGATTTCTCCTCATAAGTAGTTACCAAAATGAAGGGTATCTCATTACTCCTCTGCCACTTGCCCTCCCCAATAATTGGGATTCAGATTATTTTTCACATGAATTTATAGGCAAAACAAACACATCATAGAAATGACACGCACACACACACCAAAAAAAAAGTAAGATGTGTAATGTTTTATATACTTTAATCTCATGACCTACAGATCTAATCTCATGAACACATTGCTAATCCAGTCTACGCAGAGCTGTGGAGCAGAAAGGTGAGAACTTCCTTCACTTGATGGGAAGAGGTGAACCACTCAAGCACAGAACCAAGTCAAGATACTGATGGATGGTGCAGAAACCTATTCACCATTTTTCTTGCCAGTAGATGACAGCACAGAGGCAGGAAGCAGTGAGTCTTTAAATCTGCACTTTCTGCTTTTCATTCAAAAGCATAGGCTGACTTGACCCAAGAAGCAAGTTAAAGAACTGTTCACCACTGGATATGTCTCCTGTGGAGCCTCTCGTCCAGCTTCAGCTACAACACTTTAAGACAGATACAGACTCTCTTAATTGTCCTAATTGAAGAGAGGCAAAGAACAGCAATAAAATGGTGACCTATATGGGAAGACCAAACAAGCTGGGTCTGTTTTAGAAGCTGGATAGGGGTGGAGGGATTCCCAGTAAAAGATTTTTTAAGAATCGGCTACCTAGACTTGTCAAAAATGGAATGGTCAGGTTTGTTTTCACCCTGAGGCAAGGAAAAAGATGGATAGATCTCTTGAGTTCATTTCCAGACCTATATTTTTTTAGGAATTTGCAGTGGACCTTTCAAAATACCAACAACAATTTCACTTACCTCCAAATGAAGAAACCCCTATAAGAGTCCCAAAATGCAAGCTGTCCTTTTCCGAGAATGTTATTATAATTTCTTCTGATTCTAAAAGATTCTTCACACTGCCAGAGCAGCAAAAAGACATCTCAGGTGTCACTGAGAATCAAGCCAAAAATATCAATCAAGTTCTTTATTCAAATCTCTTGCATATAATAATCTCTCTAAAATTAAAGGACTACATTTTTTTTTTGGTTTTGATACAATACAATTAGCTATCAAGACTTTGAATAAAATAGAATTTTAAACAGAAGGTTATGGCAGCATTAAAAAAAAGATTAACATGTCAGTAGAGTCTGAGCAGACAGTTATTTAATAACACTGGACAGGGAATTGTAGGGAAAATGCTTCATAGAAGTAAATGAATATTCTTTCCAGCAGCATGATATCTTTAAAGACAAAAATTAAAATTATGCAGGTCCTTTTTTTTTTATTATTTCATAAGAATCACTTTGAAGGTAAAATATACCTACTACCCAAAGCAATTAAGAAGAAAAGAAAAAAGATAGAGAAAAGAAATACTCCAAGGGCCAAGTACGTAAGACTGAAAGAACTATTCAGCCAAGGTATAATAATCCATTTTCCCCTGAATTATATTTATTTAATATGAATATAAAGGTGTGCAGAAGAGATGAATGGGTTACAGGAGAAGTTAAAATGAAAGCTCTAAAATGTTGCTTCTTTTCTCCCTTTGTGTCTCCTTGGAAAGAATCACCATTATCAAAGTGCTGCAAGTGAAAAAGATTTCCATTTGTATTCAAGATTAAGCTGTGCATGGCTCTGCAAGCAACTACTAGGAGAAGAGAAATAGAAGATTATGTAAGGGATACACGTAGTATTTGGTAGTGCTCAACAGTTTTCAGTCTGGGTATTAGCAGTCATAGATCTCAGAAAATAAAATTCTCACGGGTGACCAATTTTAAGTTAACTTCCATTTGAACACTACAGTCTTCCTCTTGAATTTTCATCTTTGTTTTGAAGGACAGGAAGATACATCATCTTGAATGATATATATCCTGTAGCTACATCATCTACGTGGATTTCTGTAAGGCCTTTGACACAGTCCCACATGACATCCTGATCTCCAAGTTGGAGAGATATCGATTTGATGGGTGGACCATTGAGTGGGCGAGGAATTGGCTTGACGGTTGCACCCAGAAAGTGATGGTCAATGGTTCTATGTGACAAGTAGTGTCCCTCAAGGATGTATTTTGGTACGAGCACTGTTTAATATCTTTATCAAAGATGTAGTAAATGGGATTGAGTGCACCCTCAGCCAGTCTGCAGATGACACACAAGCTGGGTGCTGCAATCAGTACAGCAGAAGGAAGGAATGCCATCCGAAGGGACCTGAACTAGCTTGATAAGTGAGTCCATGTGAACATAATGAGGTTCAACAAGACCAAGTGCAAAGTGCTGCACCTGGGTCAGGGCAATCCCAGACATGAGGACAGACTGGGAGAAGAACACACTGAGAGCAGCCCCGCAGAGGGGACTTGGGAATTCTGGTAGATGAAAAGGCCTGACATGAGCCAGCAGTGTGTGCTTGCAGCCCAGAAGGCCAACTGCATCCTGGGGTGCATCAACAGAACAGTGACCAGCAGGTCAAGCGAGGTGATCGTGCTCCTTTGCTCTGCCCTCATTAGGCCCCACTTGGAGTGCTGCATCCAGGTCTGGGGCCCCCAACAAAGAAGGATGTGAAGCTGTTAGAGCAGCTCCAGGGGAGGGCCATGAGGACGATCAGAGGGCTGGAGCACCTCTCCTGTGAAGAAAGGCTGGGAGAGCTGGGGATGTTCAGCCTGGAGAAGAGAAGGCTCCAGGGTGACCTCACTGTGGCTATTCTGTACTTAAAGAGGGCTTATAAAAAAGGTGGAGAGCAACTTTTTGCGCAGGCAGATAATGATAGGACAAGGGGGAATAGTTTTAAAGTAAAAGAGGGGAGATTTAGATTAGAGATTAGGAGGAAATTCTTCACTCAGAGGGTGGTGAAGCACTGAAACAGGTTGCCCAGAGAGACTGTGGATGCCCCATCCCTGGAGGTGTTCAAGACCAGGTTGGACAAGGCCCTGCGCAACCTGATCTAGTGGGTGGCATCCCTGCCCATGGCAGGGGGGTTGGAACTAGATGGTCCCTTCCAACTTAAGCCTTTCTATGATTCCTCTTTCAAATTTATATCCTCTCCTGGCACATACATTTATACACAACCTCTGTACTTGCTTTTGAATGTATATGAAGTCCTGACACTAAATCAGTAGTAACTAAAAAGAAAAAGTAGACATCCTATTTTAGTACCCACTCACTTCACAGTGCAAGCAGATTGTTTCTAAGGCCTCAGAAGAGGAATGAAGAGGACATAGTTTGTTTCAGTACCTGGTGAGAGATATCAGATGTTCCTCTTGTCATCCCTTGCTAAGAGCACAAGTTTTTCCAGAGGCTTCAGTGAAGCCCTAGCTCTGATGGAGGCATAAAATAAGACAGATTGAAAACAGAGCTATAAACAAGCTATAAACAGTGGGCTTAGGGAAAGAAGGTATTTTAAGCTACCTATGTGTTTTTAAACTTTTAGTTGGGAAAAGTGATTAAAGATGTAGGAGAGAATGCATTATACTACCTGCTAAAACATGACTCTCATAGCTGCTGCCCAGCTAGCTGTCATGCAAAGTGAGATGGATGTCAGCGCTCCGCTCTTTTTCTGCCCTTGCATAGAACAATTGCAACAGTTTTCAAGGAAGAAGTACTTTTTGGAATCCAGTTCTAGCTGATCTTTGTGTTCCTAGCTAATCAATCCTTTACACCAAACATTTCAAATAAGCCTCACCTTCTGAAGACCTGAGCAGAAGATAAAATTATTAAATTAAGTATGAGCCAACCTATGGGTATGAAAAAAACATTCATAATTGAAAATTAATTGTAGTACAATACACTAATTTGGCTTTTTCTCAGGAGTTGTGCATATGCATATTGGTCTTGGGTGTTTTGTTCACTTCTACCGTTTGGCCACAGTTTGTTAAAGTATCATGTGCAGAGCTGGCAGCTACTTCAGTAACTGGAGTGATCAGATCCCGTTCCTCCACATTTTACTTTAATTTAGAAGAGATGACATCATGATTATTGTTAGCATACCTTTCCTGGCTTCCTTCTGTGATGTGATATAGATGATTAGCACCTCCATCAACACAAGCTCTGAGTGCAGCTGCAAGTGAAGAAACAGAGCATCAATGTATTGGTATTTGAACAAAAAACAACCAACCAACCAAACAAAAAACACAAACAGTTTACTCATTTGCTGTAATTTTTGTGTAAACTCAGTGTCTATTGCAGAGTAGGGAGTAAACTTCAAATTTCATATGGCTTTTAGCTTTCTACGCTTGACTAATTCTCTTCTTTCTCTAAATTTACATTTGAACTGTTTTTGGGAGACTTATGCCACTCTTCATCTGACTATGCCACTGCACTCTCCAAATAGCTTTTATCTATCCTAACCTAGTACTCAGTCATTTTAAATTAAATGGGGGGCAAATATTCAAAACCTGAAAAGGGATCATCGCACACATACTTCTCTAAGCAAGTTAGAACTTGCACCTTAAACCTAACAATCTTCTCACCCAGGTACAAAAACCATAATGGTGACTTTATAAAACTAGAAAAAAAAAAAAAAAAGAAATCAGGCAAGTTAATCCATGTTCCCTTCCCCCCCATCACACAGAAGTACTAACACTATAGTTCCTATACTGCTCCACAGACTGCTCAAATCATCTGATATAAATCATCCGATGTAAAGGGCTGAGTATTAAATCTTGAACATTCCTGGTATGAAAGGAACAAAACCACAACCATTTCCAGTGCTTATACATAATCTGGGGACTGCAAAGAGCATGTGCCACTAATTCCTATTGACTTAAACCAGCACAGATGTGCTGTTATAGATTGATCCCCTTATTAGACTTAAGTTAGATTTCAGAAAAAAAAATATTCTAACACTATTATTGTAAAATCAGATATAATTTGGTATATTTTATTCATAAGCACCCCTATTAGGAATCATTTAGCTAACACATAGCTCTTTCACAAGAATTTTAAAATATGACAAGCTATTGAAGACTGAAAATGACCACTGTGTCTTAGCAGTCTTTATCAGTTCTGTTCAGAGACGCACAAGTTAGATAACTTCAGTGTGCAGGATGAAAGAAGCTATCACTTTTGCACTAGTGCAGAGAATTCCTTCCAGTTCTGTGAGCAAAGAGAGACGGGATGGTAAATTTGAGAGGACTGAAAGTCAGAGTATTTGTGGAGGGGAACAGAAAAACAAGGAGAGGCAAAGAAAAAGAACAGCCTGCCACAGTTTTGGGAAAAAAAGGTATAAATAATCAGCTCAGGCAGTTCCTGCTGCTGAGAATCCAATTTTCAGCTAAATCTGTTTTTGTCTTTTCTTTTTTTTTTTTTTTCCTTGAGTTAGAATTGTCTCTCGACAGTGATGCAAACCTACATTTTTCCTCTTGGCACTCATTCATTGGGAAATCTGGCCTCTCTCCCTAGCTTAGTAATCAACTTAGCCACACTATACAAATTTGGACAACAAAATTCATGTCTGCACCTCTGTATCTACTCTCCTCTTTAAGCCATTCTTTTTCATTTTTCTGCTGAACTCCCAGCACAGGGAATATTCTTTATGTTATAACCACCACCCAGTACAATGCAACCTTGGCTGAGGCTTCCTGGTAGAAACAAAAGAGCAGAGCAGCACAACTGCTGCCAGTTCATCACATGGGTAGTTTTGGGTACAGCAGCTTCTTTCCTGCAGGCTGTAAGAATCTGTAGGGCTGGAGAACTAGCATTAAACTTCTTAGCATCTTTTCTAGCATTGCTCCTGCTCTCATGACCCCTCTCTCTCTTATCCATATAATTACAATGCCCACTACTGTAAGCACTACTTTTCTGTCTCCTTGTGCAGACTGTGCTCTGTTCTGTCTCCTCATCCTACTTCTCTCACTTCTTTCAGTCACCATTCAAACCCATACTAACAAGGCAAGGTCAAACAGATTTGATCTTGACAAATCTTATTAGCTGAAATAATTTCTAAATGATGGTAGCTGGCCAGCCATTTACAATGGTGATTCACTGCTTCAGGCTCTTGCCAGGTTCCTCACCCATCCTGATGAATATAACATCACAAGACACGAAGAACATCCTTTTTTTTTTTTTTTTTTCTTTTTTTTTTTTTTTTCTCCTGTGTTTGACAGGAAGCTTTTAACTTTTCTCACTTGAGGTTACAACTGAAACTGGATTAATGTAATTCCTTTCACCTAGGCATATTTGCTAAGTTCTCTCAGGGAGTTCAGCTCACACAATTTTGTAACAGTCCTTTGCAAAAAGTCTGTAATATCTGTCCTTAAATTAGCTATCTTGCCCATCGTTTTATTTAGCAGATATAATAGATCTACGCAAGGCCTAGGACCTTACCAATTACAAAATCTCTTCTCTCCCCTGGAGCTACAAAAGCAATTTATCAGTTGAGACATTCTTTGTAACCCAAACTGTACAAAGTCTGCAGAAAAATTATTTTCTAACTTCAGGTACATACGCTGCCTAAAGGATGCTTCCCCAGCCAAACAGAGCCACAGCCCTTTCCTTCTGAGAACAGTGATTTTTTTAATCTATTCTCCCATATTTTAAACAAATAAGTGGCTTATGATTTCTGTGGAGAAAAAAAAAAAGGGACGAGATATAGAAAATGAGACACAAAAAAGACTGTTACCTATCTCAGTTGCTTTAAGACAGACAGAGCCTTAACTATTGTAAAGTATCTCAACGAACTTACCAAAAGGTATGCCTGGCCTAATACTACAGCTGGCATTGTTTCAAATGCACATGACCAAAACCCAAAGAAACTGAGTATTACATAAAAAAATAATAAAAGTCAGTCTTTATTCAGTCCAGTACATGTGAACTACTGAGATTCTTTTAAAGACCAATAGATGCCTAAAAACAAGACTATGACACTTGTATGCTGGATACAGGGCTGATATTTGATATCTTAAATCAAAATAGTCACCTTATGTAACTGGAATTTAAAGTTTTCCCTCACATATTTATTCTTATCACTTCAGCAGCATTGTAAAGTTATTTAGAGAAACTATTTATGAGGTACTGATCCTTTACCAGCAAGTTAATAACTTACACTGGAACGAACCAAAGCCCCAAGTGCTTTAAGTAACTAGCAGGTAATTAACTGATTGGCTGGAGGCCAGTAAATCATATTATTTCTACCACCACCAAGCATTGCTTGATAAAAAGTAATGATTTATATTAGCTGGAAGAACATGTAACATTATTATCTGGAAGTATTTAAGGAGTTAGTCAGCAAGTCTAAACTTACAATACAGATGGAAAATTTATATGGAAAGATAATAAGAACTGATTTTATACAGTGTCTTTTATATTAGGGACAAAAATTGCTTTACAAACAACAATTTGGCCAAGGTGCAGCACAGCAACTGTGAAGGCAAATCTAAGAGTCTCTAGACACTCCGTAACAGCTCACACAAAACCTCATTAATTATTTCAGCAGAAACTGAAGGACCTGAACAAGATCAGGGCTTTGTTTTGCTTGGCATCGTGAAAACAGAGATACTTTCTTCCAAGAAGTTTACAGTTTAAATAGATGGGAAAAAAAAACAAAACACAAATGAGAAGGTGAAAAAATACATGGACAGATGAAGTGCTAAGGGTTGCAAAAGTCAAAGACAGGTTATCTTCCAGCACAACCAAAATGGATGGCAGGGCTTTGAGAAGGAAGAATAACTTATGTGGTCAACCAAAATTATGGCAGGTCTCGCACACACCTTCTCTTCTGACTCCAAAGGTTACTATCCCATTACTGAAGAGCCCTCACATTTGCCAGGTGTCCTGCATGCTCTCTAGCTTATTCAAGTCAGAAAGAACTATGTTGGTAAAGACATTATTTAAAGGATTTTGGATAATCTCACCTCTGTGAACTGAACCAGACTAAGGAACGGTCATCCAAGTAGCTCACTGAGCTCTGATGGGTCAGGAGGACCATCACCGCCAGGGAAGATACTGTGACTTGGGGGGGGGGGGTTGTAGCTTTTTTAACCAGCACAGCTGGAAGCAGAGGAAACGTGCCCTTAGCCACCTTGCTCAGCTGGACAGCCCCCAGGTACAGCTTCATGCTTGTATGATGAGAAAAGGTGACACAGAGAGCACAAGGGCACAAGTGGACTGCAGCATGAGCTCAATGTGCAGGTCTGCACTCCTTGGAAATACTGACAATTACAGCCTTTCCAACCTGAATATGCTGTGATAAGCTCCATTCCTCAGAAATAGCTCAGTTTGTCAGATTACCACGCATCTCTATGCTTCACATTCATTTCTGATATTACTCCAGCGTCATTCAGTGAACCAGCGGACAAGGGACCTAACCCAGGAGTCATCTGTCTCAATGTGCTGAGTAGTGGAAGAGTGTAAAAGGGCAAAGTCAATGCCACGGCCAACAATTGCTGCCCAAGTTACTGGAAGCGGCAAATGCTCAATCAAGTAGCGTTTGAAATTACAGTCTGACTAAATATCCGTCAGTTCTGCCTATGCCGAGAAGGAGTTATGTCAAAAATGTATTAGTAGCCCACAGCATCTCTAATTGAATTTCAGATGGCAACAGGAATGAAGAAACCAAAGTCCTTCTGAGTAATGATGTTCATTTTAAATGGTGTCTATTATGGTAGGAACCACTGACACAGTCCCTCCCTAACAGAAGACTAGAGGCAAATTTTAGGGCTGCTAGTGAATACAAAAAATATTCTAACACAATAATGAAAGCAAAGAGAATCTCTTTTAGTAAATACAAATAACTCCCTGTAACTGTGAGACAGGATATGAACAGCATATCAAACATGAAAAGGAAAAGTCCTCACTCTGAGTTTTTTGCAGAAAAAAAGGCATGTATTTTGTCACACATTTAAGAGTCCTGCAGATTCAGGCAGGGGAAAAGTCTGTACAGAACAGGTGATATTCTTGTAGAGTGAGTAAGATCAGGGTATAAAAAGGATAAAATGGAATAAAAGGAATACATTTATTTATACAAAGTACTAACATTTTGGAAAAAAATCTATTATTCTTTGCAATTATCATTTAAACTATTTTTCTTTTTTTTTTTTTCAAAATTCTGAAATTTACCCG